TGTGCCTATATTCACAGTGTAATACTTACCAGGCGGGATATTACTGACCATGGTATATGTAACATCCACCTTTAAGGCTATTTCTAATTTCTATCTTTTATGATAATGCCATTTGGAAGAGCGCATTCCTGGAAACATATGTATTACAAGTAAAGAAACAAGTAAACTTCCACAAAAGTACTGCAAATGTTGTAGTTGTGAAAGTTCCGATGAAAAGTATGTATTCAAGTCAAGAATGCCTCGAGTTAGATACTTTTCTCTCTTTAATAATCTTTCATAATACTAAGTATCCCCTTCGCTGTACATTTCATCAGCTTTGCGCGTGTTATGCAAAACTATCCGTTATTCCGTTTATTGTGCGGGGAATTAGTGTAAGGGCTGCGGATAAATTGTGTATCAGTACTTCATAAAATAAACAAGTGTCATTTTTACAATATATACAAATAAGTTGGATGTGTTGTCTTACACTGACGCAAGAACGACCAGTGTTTGCCCACCCGAGTAAGTGGCACCATTGCCTCCCCACTCCCAGCTGTCAAGTCGACAGAAGTATTATTCACAGTATAGCAATCAGTCCGCATCTCGATCTTCTTCTGGCACAGATTCTCATATGAGACGAAACTTTCCAACAGTCATGGCGCAGACATCGATATTGTAGTTTCGGCCGGACAAACCTCCCTTAATCATTCATGGGCGAAGAGTTCCCTGACGACGTCCTGCGTTGCCAACTCGTACGGCTTCATGTCCCTCTCCAGTCTCCACTCCAGGCGTGAGGGTTCTTGTCGGCACCGGCAGATACGCAGGGCGCGCACTACCCTCCTGTTGATTGTGGGCCGCCGCGTAGTGCAACGGAGTTTGCCCGGGCCGTCCTGGCGTTTACGACCGCGCGCTCCGCGTCGACAAGCAGAACCTAAAGAGCGGGCTCTGCTGTCGTGGAGAGCAGCGGGGTGCAGCACGCATGCCGTCGGCAGCCATAGTGTGACTGTCAGCTCCTCTGGCCAACAGCACACGAACACTACGTCCGGATGGTTCATGGGCAGGCGAAGGAAAACAGGCACGCCGAAATCAGTGGAGTGTACCTACGGCAGGCAAATTGTATACGGCAAACGTTTTCATGATATTCCTCAGCGGGGGGTGCGAGAGAGGAGGGCTCTGACTACGGTCACGCCTTAAAAGAGCTTACCCAATGCGGGCATGAACTTAACTCTCCAAACGTGTCCCCGAGAAATGCTACGATTGATTGTGAAAGTAACGAGGTGGTTGTTGGTAGCATTGTATAATTGTACGTGCCGGTTCCGCAGTCGAACTAAGTATCCTCTCAACGTGCCGTGCTATCAGCGCTGATGAGGACTAGGGAGCTCGTGTATCAAGAATCTTGCGCGAATAGACTTCATCAGTGGCGGGTCGAGGTAGACATGCAGTTTTGTGTAGGGTTTACAACCCTTTAATTAGGAAAAAAACACAAGATATTTCTATTAGAAAAGGACCTTCATTTAGATATTACTATAATAATTTATTTATCCTTAAAGACAAAAATACTGACTACTGACAAAGTAATACTCAATCATAATATTTTTTAAAAAAGCACACGACGCATAACCAAAGAAGTAATGGCGTTCGGCGGTATTCAATTTTCATTGCTTCGCGCTATGAGATTTCATTTTTTCTTAATAAACGTTGGTAACTATAGCAACATCACAATTTGAAGCCTCTAATTGAATAACAAAACCCTCTCTCCTCTGTCAAACGGGAGCTGGTAGGCAGAAGTTTTATTCGCAGTTTATTCTCCATGATGTGCTTTGTGGAAAGTGATGAGTGAGCTAGTCCGGCGCACCCATTGTTACTTATTTTGTGCAGCACCAGTTACGTCACGAACCACGTGACCACAGCACGGGCACTTCGTTTGAAAAGCCAGACCAAACACTGGCCGCCATGTTGCATGTCAAGCAAAAAGTGTCAAAAACGTAAATAAAAGTTTTAAAAAATAAAAAAATCTTTCAAATTATGGTAGCTGTGACTTAAATATTTCGAAGAAACATTATATTTTTGTGACGATTTAAATTGTCAAATGATTATTGTGAAGATTGATGCAACAAAACAGAACTTTAAAAGAAACAAACATGCGGCAACGTTACCCCCGTTGCCTTATCTAATACTCAGAGACTATGTATTATCCGCGCACGTTTTCTTGAGCCCTCGCTTCGCAGGGTACGAGGAGTTATTTTGACAAAAGGATTTTTATATCAAATTTGTAGTTCGTTTTTCGATGAAAAATGCATTCTATTACACGGGAGCAAACTCTATCCATCAAATTACGTCCATAACTGTCGTTGCTATCATTTATTCTTAATTTAACTGTTGACAAATGGTGGGGGTAGGTATTCCGAAGCTCAAGAAAACGTCCGCATATAATACATGTATTCTTTTATAAAATGAAAAAAAATATAAATTGTTGATTGTGCCGTCAAATATTGATTAATTAATTTATGCAAAAATGATACACCATGGCCAACCCAACTTTCATGTAAGTACACTATTTTCCTTCTCTCAGTTCTAAAACATTTCTTTCTTTCCTTTGAGTCTTATCGCTTTTCAAATTCAAATCCCATTTCTATTAATAAGTGATCAAATGTAGAATATTTGAAATTTAGTAAATGTTTATCAATAACATCTTTCATTACACATACGGCTGTTATTAACAATTTTTTGATGCAAGATTTTATTTTATTACATTTCTAAAGTCCCGGAAAAATTTAAGAAAGTGACGTAATATTGAAAAATATTTTCTGCTTACATTTCACTTTATATGTTGTCATTGGATTTGATAGTTTTTGATAGATAGATGAATTTGATAAACATTTATGAGCTCAAAATGTCTCGCAATTTAATACGTGGTTACAAAAATATTGTCCGATACATTCAATTATTAAAAATTCGCCATTTTCGGTGCACGATAACATAATTTTCTTTTCTTACGAAGTGTTCGGAAGACGAGAAAGTTTAAAAAAAAAAATTAAAAATGTTTCATGTCATTTCTAGGGCGCCGGTTGTCGGTAGCCCTGGCATAGCCAACTACAATAGTCGGCTATGCCCTACGCAATTACCTACTACTGCATATTGGTAGGGGCGGGTCCAGCCGATTATGTTGGGGGAGCCATCATAGATTATTGTTAAATAATAAATATTTTTATTAATATATATTATGTTGTAGTGTACGCATGATACAATACAATATTATTTTTTAAATAATTACATAATTCTAATAAATAATTAAAATAAATAAGTATTTATATCAATTTTGCCAATTAAAAAAAGGTAACAAACGAAATCTCTAGGTATTTTTGGGGGGAGGGGGTATGTTCCCAATGGTTACCCCCTGGATCCACATATTGGATATTGGTTAATCTAACACTGCACATTACGCATGTTTCTTAACTTAACGTCGCGTCTCCGTCGATTCTCACGTAGCGCGCGGCTCGTCTTCAAAACAAACGGCAAATCACAGAAGTAATGCATCCAAAGAACTTCGGGTTATGATACGAAATAATTATATCATTTTCTCTAAAAATTTGACACTGGAAATTTTTAATTGGACTTCAAAAACGAAAATATCTCAGCAACGATATATTTTAATGTACACATTTTTGTTGATAATTCATTTTTTAAGAGACACATTTTGATTTATTAATGAAATGAAAGCATTTTTCTCAGCAGAAGAAACTGAAATATTGAATCGATTTTCCCCAAATAATTCCACCAATTTTTGGATGTTTTAATGATTTGAATAAAAGGGGTTTGAAAAGTCGGTTGTGAAGAAATTCAGCGCTTTTGTTATTTTATTTAATATGGATGACACATTTTTCATGATTACCATTGCGTTCCTCGAAATTTTCTGTATAACTAATTGTTTTAACTTATTTGTGCAGGAATTGATTTGAAAACCGAGCACCCTTCCATAAGAATAACATTGACCATAAGAGCCCTTTGTGCCTTGTCGACGGGAAAATGAGTGTACAACAGGCGCAGAAGAAAATCGACACGTATACCGTAATTTAACCATGGTGGAAATACCATGGTTTTAACCAGCTCGGGCCATTCAGCATCTGACACTTGCTACCCAGTACGGTCACTAGACAAGGCCACTTTAAAAGGCGACGTTCAGAAGTTCAAAAAGTCGCGAGTTCGGCACATCTCCATTGAAATATACTGGAAATAACTAACTGACGCTTAGAACGGCACAAACGAAAATCAAAATTTGGCTGCGATTTAGAAGAGCTCGATTGTGCTCAGACTATACATGTTCTTATTTTCCCGATTTTCCATTTAAAAGGTTGGCCAATCTGTTAGTGACTACGCGCAGCCCGCCTATGTGAAATGGTTTTATTTAAATTGTCCTTGTAATTTGAAAATAAATTGTGTCGAAAAGTTAAATAATTGTAATAGCAAACGCTAGGCTGTAAGTTGTGCGAAAAATCAGCAATATTCACGCCAGCTGATTATGGTACAGTGGGAGGAAGGTACCAAAAATCTGTCAAACTTAATTTTCCCTGTTCGGATTTCAGTATTGTGTATGGGGAATGTGTTTTTGTGTTCAAGAGGCGAAAGTGAAAAGAGAATAATTAAACAACTTCAGTACTACCTGTGAGGAATTTCGAAAGTTTTAAAGGTAAGTTGTTTATGTTGATAATCCTTTCTGTAGCTATGCGTAGTTCACCTGCAGAGAGGGTACTCACCTGTAGATAATACTTATCCTGTAAAACTGTATATCAGTGATTGAAAGTACTTTTGTTGCAGTGCTGCATGATTAATATTATTCCACAGAATGCAGTATGTAACATTAACAGTAATTGAGAAATAAATTTTTGATGTTGGAAGATAGTGATATTTTCATTTAGAAATTGACACAACACTGACAGCAATAATAGTCAATTTTTATCCAAACTGATTTCAACATTCCATGAGCGAATGATCCTTTGGAGTTACAATATTTGAGACCAAGTACTTGCCACTGTTTAATAGCATATTAAAATTGTTTTAAATTCAAGATTAGAAAAGTTAAATGTGATTTCAGATATAATGTCAAAGATTTTGTCTTCGCAACAAGAACTATGAACCATCAGAAAGCACAGTTCCTCTGATAGTATTTGTAATTTTTCCATAAAATTCAAAATTGAATGAATTGAAAATATGGGAGAATAGAGAATTTGAAGTAAATAACCCAACACTTCTAAATTGTATTGCCTTGTTGATTTATTGTTTTATGAAGAACATCATTCAGCTTTTTTTAAAAATATTTTTTTAAATTAAATGAATTTCATGTTCAATATACAAATATGAAATATATGGAAAAGATTCTCAGCGCATGTTGTGTTGGTGCATGTTTATACCAGAAGAAATCAATATTTGCTTAATTTAATTTTGTTAATTTGTTTAGAAAGAGTGTTTTGTTTCAATTATTCTTTGAAGCAATTAAAATTAGAACATTTATGGGACATAATTTGAAGTGTGCTTTGATGAGCCATGTAATCCGTAAATTAATCAATGTACCAATTAAGTGTACCGAATGTACCAAAGTTTTAGACTTTTTAATAATGAATGATGTGAGAGGAAATTGGAAGGTGTCACATTACAAAGTACAGTGGATTCAATTTGCTTAAGAAAAAATTGAAATAAAATTTGAACTTAAAATATATTGTAAGATTGTTAGGAAATGTGTTACACTAAGATGAGCTGCTGACTGAAATTACTTATACTCATTAAAAAAAATACATCTTTCAAAGAATGAGTTCCTCATATTTCATTGAATTTAGAAGATGTATATTAGTATTTGCTTAAGATGTAGGTGAAATTCAATTATAACACTAAGTATATGTTGGTAGTTTTTTTAATATTCATGTATTTCAATGGCTTATTCATTATGAATATATAATTTAAGTTACCGTATGAAGCGTAATGATTCCATTCTTAGAGACCAAT